GGTTCGTTGCTGTTTTGTTCTGAGCTTTTGTAGCTCCTATGAATTGGGTTTGCTGCTGTTTTGGTTGGAGCTTGTGTACCTCCTTGTTGTTGGGTTTGCTGCTGTTTTGTTTGGAGCTTGTGTAGCTCCTTGTTGCTGGGTTTGTTGCTATTTTGTTCTAAGCTTGTGTAGCTCCTGTGAATTGGGTTTGCTGCTGTTTTGTTTGGAGCTTGTGTAGCTCATTACCTTTGGGTTTGTTACTGTTTTCGCTGGAGCTTGGGTTGCTTTGTTGCCTTACCTTTGGGGTTGTTGTTGTTTTTGCTGGAGCTTGGGTTGCTTTGTTGCCTTTGGGTTTGTTGCTGTTTTGTGTTTGAGCATGTGTAGCTATGTAGGCTGCTGTGTAGGAGCTATTTTGTTTTTCCTTGCCTGTGGGTTACTTGCTGTTTTGTTTTGAGCTTGTGTAGCTCCTTGCATTTGATATTGTTAGACCCTAGAGGGTGGTGATTAGAATCTTATGCTAATCTAATCCGATTTTATGCCAATTAAAACTAATTAACAAGTTATCCTAGCAAGTATGAAATACAACAAGATATATAAGCTATGATAAGCAATATGAACAAAGAGCAATATTCTAGCAACGAGATATATAGCGAAAAATATGCAATGATATATAAACTAACACAAGGGTGAAATAAATAATCTACAAAAGTAATAAGGCAATAGACAATGGCGACAAGAATGAATAAACACTAAGCACAAATAAAACGTCAAAGCAAACTCAAACACAAGCAAATGATCACGGAGTTCGAACATTCCGTCCTATGTCTCCGCTCCCCACTCCCAGGGAGAAATCCACTATCACAACCGGGTTTTCTACACTCACACGAATAACATTTACACCTCATAGTATCGGTTTTTAACGGTCACCGATCAACGTCTACACTCCACACCTTACAATAACATTTACGTGATTTGTTCTCTAATATAAGGCGAGAACTCAATTAAAGCATACACTCAATTGTTACAACTCTCACCAACCCAAATATACTATGTATAAAAATACAATAAGCTCAAGTGGGTGTGTGTAACAATGAGATTCAATAAAACAAAATTAAACTAAACTCAATTATGAAAATCTAGATTATAGAGATGATAATCAATAAACAATGTAAATACAAAGCTAGAAATTGAGTTTAGAAAACTTTTCTATAGATAACAAGAGAGAGGGAGAAGATTGAATGCTCAAACACCAAAGGATGATCTCCACTTGCTCTTGTGAAAATTTTTTCATAAACAAACTCTTTTAAAACAAACTTGAACAAAAATTAAACACCCTTAAACTTGTTTAAAAAGTTTCTTGATTTTTTTGGTAATTGGGGCTTGAGGGGTTTATATAGGAAGAGAAACCAACAGCAAAACCCCCAACCAAATCCCCTAAAAACCCAGAAAAAGATTTTTCAGATTCTGTCAAAAAGAGTCTTGGGCATACGGCGGTCGACCGTGAAAAACTCTCGGTCAACCGCGAGGGGTGTTAGAGACTGAGAAACTTTCCAGAAACATCTGCATTCGACCGTGGCGGTCGACCGTGGGAATTTTCAGCTTGACGGTCGACCATCACGGTCGACCGTGAAAGTCTCTGCTGACTCCATAGGGTAAATCAAAGGCGCAATCGAGCGTGACGGTCGACCGCAAACAGATGTATGAAAATGACAGTTTTGTAAACAGTTTTTTTGATTTAAAACCCTGTTAAAAATATCAAATAAAATTTAAAAAATATAAAACTTTAGGAAATGGTTGTAGACATGATAATACACATGCTACAAAAACTGGTTTTTCGAAAGGACCTTCCAAATAAAAAATATCATCATTTTGTAAAATAGACCAAAACATGAAAATGTGAACATATGAGTTTTGACATTTTAGTTTAACTATGTTTTGAAACAATACAAAATGATTTTATAGACTTAAAGAAAGATGTAAACTATTGTTATGAAGTCTATAAACAATGAATATAGTATTTTTATAAATACAATAGAATATGAAACATATGAGTATGAATATGAATATATATTTGTTTCATATCCATAAAATTAAACAAAACCAATTTATCCACGTAAAAATAAACATGTATGAATATAAATATTTATTTATATGCTAGTAAAAACTCTATATATAGAAACCAATAAAATGTGTGTGTATATGATATTGAGCTTAAAGTACTAACACACATAATATAAACTCCCAAACTAATTATACCCAAGCTTGTGATCTTGATCTTCAATAATCTTGACTTGGTACACTTTGCGGATGAAGCTTGAACTTGTATCTTTAACTTGAATTGCATAGGCTTCACTCCACAATTCCGTCAACCTCCATTGGATATGATCGTGAATGCGTAATTCCATCCATCCTCCAATAATATTATTTATCTATAATAAATAAAAAACCACAAACACTAGACAAACAACATTAGTTGTAAATTGTTTGTTAAACATCATCAAAACAAGAAGGTCAACAGATATTTGGCAATGATGATGATTAACGTTTACTGAGAATGCAATCTAACTTACATTGTTTATTATATTCAGATGAGGCAAAATGGGATGAAATTGCATCCTACATTGAATTGATAATGTCTAGGCGAGACAATTCATCCTTATAATGCAATCTGTAATAAACATGTAAGTTAAAGGTAGGGCAATCAATTATGACAAGTTGATCTATTACTGGGCCATACAATATCAATTAGAATTTATACCCAATTCCAAAATTAGTTTTCATTACAACTTCAATAGTTTTTGCAAGCACAAGTACATGACATGCAGTTTGTAATAATTAAAATAATACAAAAAATTGCTAATAAAATTGCTGAAATTTTCCAAGCTACTAGTTGATTTTCGACAAGTCTTAATTCTTTCTTCAGCCTCTTTGATTGTAAAATATATTTATCTCCGTACCTATTTTCTTTGACATATTGGCTTTCTTGGTTGCTTGAGTCTCCTCTTTCATCAGCCCATTCGAAAAAATTGCATTCTTTATTTGGGAATTTTGCACACCCCTAATAACACCTTCCCTTATTTTTACCATTCTTGCACACATTCACCGGTGTTTGGAGATTGCAGTCGTAATAAAAACTTCATAATTTTGATAGCACTCTTCTGATATCATATTGATGTCTGGGATCCAAATTGCAGACAATGAAAATTTATAAATTGCTGAGAAATGAGAACGCATGGATTAATTTGAGGCCTCAAGTTGAATTTATAGTCAGTATGACCCTGAACTAGCCGTTGCTACAGTGTTATGTCTTTGAATTTTAAAGATGGTGAAAATAGTCGTTGCTATAGTGTCTTTTCTTTGAATTCTGAAGTTGGTGGAACTAGCCGTTGCTATAGTGATTTTGTGATGATCAGTGAGCTAGTCGTTGCTATAGTGTTGATCCCTAAAAAAATTTCATTCTGAACCAAACATGGTATTAGGAATTGGAGGGTTTCTATAAAAGTGAGATTCTTTTTTTCATTGGGTGAAACATACATAGAATGCAACCAAAATAGGATTCCATAAAACTAAAACTTGTCTATAAATTTTTTATGGATTAGGTTGGAATCCATAAATAAAATAGGATTCCTAATCATATTCCTAGCCTCTATTGAACCAAACAGGCCCTTATGCAAACCTTTGAACAAGTATTAACGTGCGAGGAAGAATATTCTCACTGACACAGGCATTGTCCATTTCCATTAGCTAGTAAATAAATAAAAAGGGTAAATTACACTGAACCCTTGAGAACTTTAGCATTTTGTTAAAACTCAATGACTTTTAAAATTGTACTAAAGCCCCAATAACTTTTGCAAAAAGCTCGCAATATCTTTTGGGTAATGTTATGACCATAATTAACCTAAGTTTAGTCTTCCTCTTGGAGTTGACAAGTGTCCCATATCAGCATTAATCAATCATGTCATCTCACCCTAGCTAGGGGTGACTCGGGTCACCTAGGCACTCGACCCTTCCCGAGTTAGGCTGAGTCGAGACCAGCTCTCACCTGATCTCATCAGACGAGTCGACTACCCTCATCCACTCAGAGCTAGGTTAACAACTTGTGAGGCCGACTAGAAAGTCGATACTTATCGTCCCTCTAGCACATCCAAGTCAAGAGGCAGTTTGACCTCAAACTTGGCATGAAGAGCTGTCTATTTTCATCATTGCGGGTACTGCGAGTCTCTATGACTCATCAACCCCCATACATCCTCAATCACCATCACATCCAATCAAAGATGACTCATCGCACATGTAATCGATACTTGTAAAGCTATTTGCCAATCCACTTGTCTGCCTGGACTTGGCCATAGTTACGCTTCTACCACTCTCAGCCAGGTATAAATATGGGCTCATCGCCTGCTATTGAGGGGCTAATCCTTAGTCCCTCTTTCAGGACCACAAGTATGCAATTTCTAGCCACTTAAACTAAGAACATATTCAGTTCATTGGTTTCTTCTCTATTCAAGCTCAAATAATGACTTGACCGTCAACCGGAGAACCCAGCTCCGGTCCTCTAGCATGCTTATTTTGCAGCTTACTCATTTTAAGCAGGGCACCAACCGCCTAAAGGGATGAGGGAACCCACATCGTACACATCGAACCCAAACCCCATCGATAAACTTGGAATTACATGCTAATCTCGCTACTGAGTCTCTCAAGACATCAACAGGTAAATTACACACTAAACGCTCAATAACTTTCAAAATGTCTTTTGATGTTGTTTTTTGGTTCTAATTTATGGATATTATCTACAAAATATAGAAACTTATTGGAGGTTTTCTTCAAAATGCAAAAGTTATTGGAGCTATACTGCTAATTTGAAAGTTACTTGTGAGTTTACTGCAAAATGCTAAAAGTTCGTGGGAGTTTAGCATAATTGAACCAAACAAAATCAAGGATCAAGAATTTCAATCCTTTCTCCTCATTTCATTGAATACTTTCTAAATCATATAAATAAACTACTTACTAACAAACACTAGTCATATAAAAAGTAAATTCTCCAGCATTACACCAAACAAGTTTAAACGTTGGAATTCAACTTTCATAATTTCCTTACAACTTCTATCTACTTCGAAACGGTTCCTATTTAATAACATTGGTTAGAGACATAACTAGTTACTAGCAACATTAAAACAAAAACTAACAAGAAAGAAGAACACATAACTTTAAATCTAACCAAAACCCACATAAAAAACTACACAAAACCCCCCAACACAAACACATTTCAAATAAACAACCTTTGCATCAAATCCTCAAAGGCATCCCCAGCCTATCCAACCTCCCAGAACCCGGATACCCCTTGTTAGCAAACTTAGCGTGCAATGAAGAACTCGTCTGGCCCAATTGGCACAAACCTGGCCCATTACCACCCGAGACCCGCCTCATCGAGCCCGACTTCTCAAACTCAGGCCTCTGCTTGGGAGCGCTCTGCGACCGGACCTGCACCTTTGCCCTCGACGACTCCGTATTCGCCATGTAATTCGGGTAATCCGAGTAACCACTGAACAAACTCCGCGAGCAATCGCTCTTCGCAGGGGTAAATGGTCCTCGCCTCGAGCTTCCTGGCCTTGAAGATGCAGAGAAGAACTGTGGGCTGTCGCCATAGTCACAGCCGTCGAGGATCGGGAACCTCAAGGGGGTTACAGATTCATTCATGTCGACGGAGGACGGGCTGGGGATTGAGCGTAGGGCGACGGTGGAGTCCCTCGAAGGGGAATCAGGGACAGTGGTGAAACTCTGGCTGTATTGATCAGAGGTCAAAGGCGAGCAAGAAGAGCGCGGATAATTGGCGATCTTTCGCTTCGAGGGTTTTCCAGTGTCGATTTCTAGTATCTTTGCATTACGTTCATCCTCCAACGGAGTGCTCATGGGGACGATGCTGTATCGATCTTCCATCCATTGATCGAGCCATTGGAGACCCGAGGACTCTGCTTGGTGTTGATTGAATCTATCATTCGAGCTAGTTTGTTTCGATGAATTCCTCTGCAAACACAAACAGTGTAAGATTCTTAAGAAAGTTGAAGAGATTTCACAAGTAATCAGGTGGATACCTTGAGAGTGGATGATCTCTCGGGCTTGCGAGAATTTGATCGAACGGGTTGCTCGGATTTCTCTGGTGTCGATGGACCCTGAAAGAATCAAACAGTGAGAGAATATTCTAGCGAATCCATTGTTTGGATATCTGAAATTTAATTGTAAGAAATGTATTTACAAAGCAATGACAGAGTTTAGATGAAAATCAATTGGGATAACAGTTACAGGATTTTATCATATGAGGTTCGGTGTTAGTTTTTCCACAAGTGCAGTTACAATGTCGCAAAATCAGAAACTTGACATAAATCTGGATGCAATATCTACTTCTGCATCTCTATTTCCACACAACCAAACAAACGCTAAGACAAAATTTGAAGCAAAACTTCGACGGAGAACGTACCGGGTGCGATCGAGAGCTCGACCTGAGCTGACTCAGGTCGGACCGGAGGGCTCGACAAGCACGGGCACGGGCCTGAACCCGAACCAGAGCCTGCATGCTCCGCATAGTATCCGCCGTGTTCTTCCGAACAATGTTGCCTCTCACAAGAGCTTGAAGCTTCACTAGACCTTTCAATGCTCTCAGCGCCCTTCTTGCCTTTTAACCCAAAATAACATTTTAATCAAGATTTAATCACAAAATAAGACCCAAAATTTACACCTAAAGACAAACATAATAATAATTAAATATAAATCAAAAGACCCATTTTGGTGCAATAGAGAATACCTTCAATGTGATACAATTTATATTTATTCAGAAATTTTCTCTGGAATTAAAATCTTCAGCAGCTTTTTTTCATTTTATTAATCTGGCCCACAAAAGAGATGACGTTGATTGGCTACAACAGTATGTTATATCCATCAGAAATTTTTACAGAAAATTACAGAAAAACGGGAGAAAATAAAGGGGACCATTTTTTACCCCTTTATTTCAATTAATGTAGAGGGCCCAAATCTCTAGCTACCCAGGAACGGTCGAATTAAATGCACCGGGGGTTGAACTGCAGCTTGTTTTTAATTTAGTCATTTTCCTTAACGAAAATAAAAGAAAAGGAAAGGGTATTTTTTAAAAAGCTGAAGTTTTTCTTACTATACATAGAAATTAATGAAGAATTAAAGAAACAGAGATTAGTTAATTAAGGGGGGAAAAGTGGGAAGCAAAATAGCAACTCAGAGAACCACGCAAATCCCTTGCCTTTTCCCAAGAACAAATCTTTGAAGAAGAAATTAGCACCCAATTCGATAATAATAATCAACGCGAATCTCAAAGCAGAGGAAAAATGGGAATTTATTAGCAGTACCAAATAAGCCCTAAA